TGCACATGATATCTGCACTATTGAACTGTTTATTCTGGTTATATTCTAATAATATTCAAAATTTTCTTTTTATATGTATTTTTGCAATATCTCTTGAAACTGTTGACCCATTGACTTCAAACGTTTAACTTTCTATTCTGTTGTAGGTTTGATCATGTGATGAAAATTTAAACTTGATATCTCTGATCGCTTCTGAGAAAACTGTATTTTAGTACGAAAATGTCCCATGACCTTGTAATAGCAATAACTCCATGAAAATCTGAAAGAATCTCTACTTAGAGTGGTGTGGTGCGAATCAAGAACAATTTCGCGATCATACCAGTATTTGTTGAATACTTTTTTTAATCTTAGAGATCTTTTTGCGTGCGTTGGCAGTCATATAGACAAGACTCTCATTGATACACTTGTGAAAAATCGGCTTAAAATGCTTCAAAGTATCGGACTTCCAGTGGTTTTACTGGTTCGCCCCACAGCTTTTCTTGATTCGCCCCACTTGGGGTGATTCAAGAAAACATATAGCTCTGAGTGGGGTGAATCAAGAACACTCGTTAAAATAAACCGTATTTTTTAACTTTTGTAAAATCCAATTATCTTAGGGATAATTAGTACTAATTGAGTAGATTTTCACACCACTGGACCCCTTATCGTCTCAGGAACACGTTGAAGCAAATTCCGAATTGTTCGATAAGAACTGACTGAGATCCGTTTGACGGTCTAAACTAGAGTAATAAAATAATATTCTTGGTTCGCCCCAAGTGGGGCGTTTCAAGAACCACGTAGACAGGCATGGGGTGAATCAAGAATTCTGGTATAAATGAACGCGAAAAGCCTCTACATCTAGAAAGCCAATTCTCAAAGCCGTTGACGAACAAAAAATGAAAAGGCTTTTGCCAAACGACTCTTCAGCGATCATAGACTGAGATCATATCATTTGTACAGTAAATCCACCGAAAGGAACAGTGTCATATACATCTCATCTTATTGAGGAACAAAAACTGTTATAGAACAGCACAATAAAACTAAAGTTTCAGTACTTTTCTTGAAGGCACTATAAAAAAATAGAAAAGAGTAACCAGGTATTTTGACTGAGTAATGTTAGATGTTTACACCATACAGTTTAGTACTATTCAATAGATTTGTAGAAGATCACGACTTGCCGTTTGGCATAATTCACAAACAAATGTCGATGGTGATTGACTAAATTGGCGACAAGGAAAACAGATAACACTATTACAACTTGCACAACTATAATATGTAGTCAAGTAGGGTTGTATTTGCTGCATGCAAACACAACAATACATATTTGGCTGTTGCCCACAAGTTGCTGTTGAGATATCGACGAAATTGTGTATTGCCCCTGCAAATGGTGAGTAGTCTGTTGTTGAAGTACTTGGAAATGAACTTGGAGGCAGATAGGAATTATATATTGAAAATGATGTTGGTTGTAATGGAGAAATTGTCGAGGATCAGGGAGTGATGACTGGTTCAGCTACAGGAACAGGTTTACCCGATAAGTTTGAAACAGTTTTTTTTTTGGGTTGTTCGAGTTTTTTTTGCCGCTTTCTCGGCCAATTTTAATTTTCTTTTTTCTCTTTCTGCATCTACCACTTGAAGTCGATGTAACGCATCGACGCTTGTCAACTCTCACCGGAATTTCTAGGAATCATGGCTTTTCGTTGAGTATCACGTACAACTGTCGGTGTTAAATAATTATTTAACGTTAACGTTGTAAGGTTGTCGTTATAGCATTTTGGATCAATAAGCACGAACCATCTATTAGAAAAAATGATGTAATGTAACTTAATAAGCGGAAAAGATCTTACTATTATTTGAAGATACAGGTTCGACCAAGCTTTTAATTGTTTTAACACTAGAATCAATTGACAGCGACAAAGACGGATCTGTAAAGAAAACGTCTTACCCCACTAAGAGTAGCAGTGAAACAGATTTCTTACCACATTCACCTTGCGATGCATTAAGTAATGAAAATGACGAGGCAATTATTGATGACGTTTTCGAGACAGACGATTTTAAAGCAGAAACAACAGATGTAGTAGTTATTAACGAACTATTGGTTTGATCAATTAGTGAAGGATCCATTGATAATGAAGTAGAAGAGGCTGACGATATGGATGATTGAACGGTTTTGTCATCTACAATGACCGAAAATCGAACACAGGTCTGAAGTCTAAGTACTAACTTACCTAGAGTGTAACTGAGAGTTGGAGCTGATGGAGATCTTCTTAACCGACGATATCCAATTACATTGTTGTTTATCATTCGCCTATCATCTACCGTTCGATTATCATCTGTTATTTCTTCTATTTGATCCTCAACTGCAACAGATATCAGATATTCAGTCGACAATGCCCTTGTTAAATTCGATCGACTATTCAATGATGACGATGGCGTTGAATACGATATTTTTTCTCGAGGTATAGCCCGTTTGTCATAAGGGAAGACACCGGCCTTAGCAAATCCGCCGGCACAATATGCTGGACGTAATGCATTTGTGTACAACTTCTTGAACAACAACGGAAACACGGATTTGTCAGCATTTGTTTTAAGATAATATTCGCGCAGTATTTTTCTCCATTCTGTTTTAACGATTTTGAGAGTATAAACATCTAGTGGTTGCAATTGAGATGTGGTATGTGGAGGCAGATCAAGAATATGTACCTCATTATCGAGTGCCAGTTTCATTATTCTATAGGATAAATGTGAGTGGTGATTATCCATTATCAATAATAAAGGGCGTTTGATATTTTTTGTCTCTTTTAGAAACTGTTTAGAAAACCAGGTATAGAATACTGGCTCTTCCATCCAGCCCGATCCGCTTGTATTATACATTGTACCAGAATAATTATTCTTAGGTAACCAAGTATTGTAGTAACTCATTTTACCATCAAGTTGTTTTATGAATGAATCATAGATCATGTTTAACCTACAATGTGGGATTGAAAGAAACATTCGTTCTCGACCACGTAACGAGGAGGGAAAAAAGATAGAAACTTTCCTATCAATACTTAGTATCCCATTTACTTTCACTACTTTCAACTTTTAAAAAAAATTTAACTGTTTATTGCTCCGTATTTTTATCCAGCTAAACGTTTGAAGTCAATGGGTCAACAGTTTCAAGAGATATTGCAAAAATACATATAAAAAGAAAATTTTGAATATTATTAGAATATAACCAGAATAAACAGTTCAATAGTGCAGATATCATGTGCA